TGTTACTTTTTAGATTGTTATATTGGAGAGTTATGTTTATAAAAAATACACTAAGAATTTTTTTTGAAGTGTTACGTTTAGTAATTTTAACATTATGAGAAAACTCACATTTATCCCTCAATACAAATACACGCACATTTATACTTGAACCTTTTTGTAATTCACACCAAAATAGAATTTTTGAGTCTTAAAAAAAAAAAATCCAAACAATTCATAAAATTACTATTTAAAATTTATTGCACCCTTCATTTAATTGTATCATCTTTGATTACATTGTAAGGGGGAGGAGCCATCTCATGGCCTAAAATGGCCATGACTCCCCGACATTTGGAAATTGGAATACATACACACATATATATATATATATATGCACGAAGATAACCATAGTGCCTATAGTGACTCCAGTTTTAACCCTTCACTTGTTGTATTCCAGACTTGGGTTTGTATGGTTTTGAATGTTAATTCATGTCTTGTTTCCCTTGTCTCTCATCTATTTTGGTTATTAGATTGTAGTTGTACGTTTGGAACAGGTTGGTTGCTTGTTTTTCCAAACATTTGTTGCCCAAATTTTTGCTCCTCCACTTGAGCGGCCATTCTTGCGCTCAAGCGTGCTTTGCAATCTTTGCTCCTCTGTTCGAGCGGCACTTCTCGTGCTCGAGCGGGCCTTGCGAACTCTCAGTACTTTGCAGGTCTGCAAAACTACTGGGAGAGTGTTTTCTACGCTTAAGTGACATTTATTACACTCGAGCAGGTGGGCGCTCGAGCCGCCTTTTCTGTGCTCAAGCGTTGGATTGTTGTCTGCAAAACTTCTAAATGTGTGTTTTCTACGCTTGAGCGGCAAATTCTTGCGCTTGAGCGATGAGCGTTCATCGTGTCTTGGCACTCGAGCGACCTTTCTTACGCTCGAGCAGAGCAACTTATCGTGCTTGACGCTCGAGCGTCAAATCTCCCACTCGAGTGGACTGTGCGTATATCAGATCGCGAAAGTGACATTTTATATCACATTTTCATTCTTCTCTCTCTCTAAAACTTTCCAAAAACCTAGATCTTAACTCTCTCTAAAATACCCTCTCTCTCTACATTTTCTCTTAGATCTATTGGTCTCTTCGCCCTAGTGTCTTTGGTGAAAAATCTAGGAATCCCCTAGAAGTTGATTTGTGATTTACGCTCGAGCAGAGCAACTTATCGTGCTTGACGCTCGAGCGTCAAATCTCCCACTCGAGTGGACTGTGCGTATATCAGATCGCGAAAGTGACATTTTATATCACTTTTTCATTCTTCTCTCTCTCTAAAACTTTCCAAAAACCTAGATCTTAACTCTCTCTCTCTAAAATACCCTCTCTCTCTACATTTTCTCTGAGATCTATTGGTCTCTTCGCCCTAGTGTCTTTGGGAAAATGGTAGAGCACCTTGAAAGCATCTTTTTGATCCGATTGGAGTTTGGTTTCGGTATTGTTGAAGTTTCGTCCTTGCTCTGTTGATCTTCTAAACTTGAGCTAGAGATTTTCTACACTTTAATATGATTTTTAACTTAGCTATTTGTCGTTGTGTAATAATGGTGAGATTTGGAGATAATGTGAACAAACCTAGGGTTTGAGTGTAAAATGGAAAGAGAGGTTTTGATAAATGAGGGATAATGATCTTGGGGTTTGAAAATGATGTTGTATGGGATCAAAATAGTTGATTTTGCTACTTGGTTGATACTTGAGGAAAGATGGCGTTTGCCCTAAAATGATCATAATATTTATTTTGTATAAATAAATGAAATTGATGTTATGAGCATGAAATTGAACGAGTTTTGAAATAAATGGTGGGTTTGAGTAGATGATACGTCTTATCTTTGGAAATTTTAAATAAATTATCTATCTTGAGATTTTATATCTGTTTAGAAATAACTATATTGGGTTATCGATGGAGGATAGTTATGATTGTTGTAGAAATTGCATGAGGATTATGTGAACTAAAACTAATCCATGGTTGGTTATCATTAAATATGATCATGTGCAAATACATTGTATATGTATGATTGTTTGGGATGAGAAATGAGATGTACTCTATGTATGATTATGTGTTAAAATACATTGTATATGTATGATTGTTTAGGAGGAGAAAGGGGGATGGACTCCACTGTTTGGAAAAGAGAAAGGGGATGAACTCCGTTATAATTAAGTTGGCTGGAGTGTCCTGGGTGAAAATTTCGAAATTTATACATGGGTGTCAATCCTACGGATGAAATTTCTATGAAATGGTAGATTAAAGTGTTTGTGTGTTAATGATGTGATTGTAGAACCATTGAGTTGTAATCTCATTTGGGTTATTGAGAAATAATGAATTTGGCTCCTGTATTGAAATAAATTGAATGAAAATGGATTAAGATTTGGATTTGGTACCTTATGACTATATAAACTGTAAATGTTTTGTCACGGACATTGTTTATGCATATTGTATTTATACCTTTGTTAAATCTTATATATTGTGTTAGATTATTCCTATTGGGCTATGGCTCACCTTACTTGGGAACAACATTTTTAGGTACTGATGGCGTGCCTTCACCAAGGCAATAGCATTGGAGGGACTTTTGAGAAGTAAGAGCTTTTTTGTTTTGTTTCACTTTTTATAAATCCTAAGGCTTAAATTGTATGAGCTAGTGTCATTTTTGTTGTAACCAAGCTAAGGCTTGGAAAGATGTAAATCTATAAGACATTTATTTATGTTAAACTCTTTTGTACTATTAACTCTATGAAATGAACGAATGTTACACTCTAATTCATGTAGTTATTTATTTATATTTCGATCGAATCTATAGTCATATTTTGGGGGCATCACAGTGCCCCTTTCATTTTCACATTTGTGAGTAAATTGATGAAATTTTTTGTTGGATAACTAGCCTTCTAGTAAAATATTATTTACATATCATTCTTAATATATATATGTGGAATAGTTATAAAAAAAACTTAAAGTTTTAGTCTTATAACAAAATAAATTTTTAGTTTTAAATTTTGTTTATTTAAATAAAATTGATAATTTTTTTAATTATTAAAGACAATATAAGTATATATAAAAATGTCTAAAATATTATTTTCATTAAGTTTAATGGCTAAAATACCTATTTTTCTATCGATTTTATTTAACAAAATAAACAAATAATTTAAATTGAAAATAAATCAAAATTTTAGTATTTAAATTGATAAATATAAAAAATTCAAGGTTTATTTTAGGGAAATTTATTAGAAAATTCTATTTCAAGTACTTGTATCCCAATTAGTCCATAAGATATTATTGTGTTTTAATGAGTCATATTATTTTAGATATTTGATCCACTAAATCCTAATTATTATATTTAAAATATTTTATGGACAATTTTACCCTTATAATTATTTTTTGAACACTTAGTAACTTGGTGATGTGGACATTTATATTAAATAAATTTGACAATATAAATATTCACGTTAACACTATGAATGTTCGAATTGATAGCGTGAATATTCATATCATGAAACATTCACACTGTCAATGTGAATATTAATGCGCGTTTCATCTTATTATTATCAGGGATATTTTGATAACTATATCGCTCATAAGACTTATTGAAACATAAGAAAATAATTTGGATTAAGTAGAACATAAGTAAGTAAAGAGGGATTTATGACTAAATGCCCTTTATTTTATTACCAGACTCAAACTCTGAATATTTATTTATTTATTTTTTTGGTAATTTCTTCTATATATATTTTATAGGATGTGTATCTTAGGTAGGGTCGTGTAAAATACCACTCAATCTGCACTAATACGTTCGCTAACTTTGGATTAAGTTTTAAAATTTGTAATTCGCCTTCAAAATCGCTACATTCTGTTATAGTTAATACATATTTTTTTTTTCTTAACTTCTAATAAAATATTAAAGTAAAAATGAGCGTATGAGATAATTAAGATGTAAAATTTGTTGTAAAGTAGTAATTATATATATGAAAAATATTATAAAATTAGTTTAAGTTATATATATAAAAAAAATTATATAAATTAATGCTATATATTATGCAAATATTTGATAATATTAATCAGCTAGCAAATTAAAATCGCACCAAACCACGGTTTAGCTATTTATCAATCCAATAATGATTGAGACCCCTTTTTTTGGAGACTCTTCAATTTTCTTCAGATTTCAACCATTGATGTATGTGTGGGATCCACACCATCTATAGTTGAGATCTAAAGAGAATTGTGGGGTGTCTTAAAAAAAAAAGAGGTCCCAAACATTTTTCTTTCTCAATCAATTATTCAAGATTTAATTTGTAATTTTACTTTCAAACTGTTCGAACTGCATTGAACATCGTAACCTCCTGCGTGGTGTTTATAAATTTTCTATTTACAAATCATTTATCAAATCAAAAACTACCCAAAGTGTAGAATTAGCTTGTTTTGGAAAATAAGTTAAAAATTAATTTTTTAATTTTTTTTTGTGCTTATTTTAGAAACATATGTAAAAAAATAAAAAAATAATATAATTAAAAAAAATAAAAAATATAATTTTTAATCAACTTGTCAAAATAATCTAAAGAGAAACAGTATGGACGTCTCAACATCATATCAGACTCTCTTCCGTGGTAACACTCTGTCCATTACATCACCTTTCTATTTTTTTTACACATCACTTTATAAAAAGATAAAAAATATATTTATTTAGATCATCTCAAACAAACAATATATTTATTTAGATCATCTCAAACAAACAAGGAGAGAAAGCCATGCTGTGAACTTGAGTCGAAAATAAGTGCAAAGGTCCCACTTTCAAAAAAAAGGAAGAGAAAGCCATCTTGAGTTGAAATTAAGCACCCCAACTGGCTCTTCTTCTCATACCCCAATCTTCCAATCCAATTCAATCCAATCCTTTAGAGAGGGTAAGAGTCATTTACATACACGAATGATCTACTTACAATAAATTTAAAAATAAAAAAATGAAAATAAAATTCAACTTTTACCCCCCTTTTATCTATGCCTTTGTTTGCTTATGTTTCAAGTCGTCTTTCTATCCTTTTCTCGTTCTTCTCTGGAATGTTCATCTGAGTGTTTGTTTCATCGGAAAGAAAAAGAAAATCCCATCACTTTTTTTCTTTCTGATTTTTATCTGTTTTTTTTTTTATGGACTGATTGTCAGGGGTGATAGAAATCGAGGGTATGTGTCTTCTAATTCTTGATGGTGACTATGCTTTCAAATGATTTGGGCACTTCAGCTGATCATCTCTGCATAATCTCTAACTGTTTGTGGTAAGTTCCCAACGAATGATCTTACCTGTTTCTTCAGTTAACTAATGATGAATTTTTTCAAAGTTAATCAATTTGGAAAATAATTCATTTGTTTTTGTTTGGTGGGGTTGGTGGAGGTTATGTTTTTCTTTGATGGGATGGTGTAGGTTTTCCATATAATTATGGGTTGTGATTGTTGATAAATATTTTCAACCAACAAACATTAGGCCCCTCATAGTCATATATGTCGCTGGAATATTGTAGAAACAACTTTCCCAAATCTGTATGTGGAATCTGTGATTCTAAAGTGTTTTTATTGAGTTTGTAATTGAGGATGGCAATTGATTGAATCAGAACCCGTTATTGTAAATCTAGAAGAAAAGGGGAGCGCAGTGTACGAGGCTCGGGGTTTAGTTATAGTTCAATTATTGTTATTTTTGCCGGGCTGTGATGAACTGGGCTTGATTAGAATCCAGTATTTGTATTTCTCTTTGCTTTCATTTATGTTCCTGTCTTCTTTATTCTCTAGCTTGGCATGTTGAAGAAAGCTTATGCCATGATATATTGTTAGATTTGTGTCTTTGCATCTTTACATATCTTTACATAGACCTCTGGGTGAGCTATTATTACCTATTTTTGTTTAAACTAAATTTCAGATTATTCTAAACAAAACTTATGTCTCATCTCAACAATTGATATTTGAGGAGAATTTCTTTAGTTGATTGTTTTGTTATCTATTCTCACCCTGGAATTTAGATTTAATGGAAGACGAGAGCAAAGTAATGTTATTCTTCTTTCTACATTTGAATTAGTTGGGATAAAGCTTTGTTGGGTTGAGTTAACTTTTTTTTTTTTTTTCTCCCTCCATTTCAGTTATGGTTTTTTCTTGCCAACATCAATTGAATTGTGTGCAGGGCGAGATTTGCCAGTCCACAAGCAGTTAACATAACACATTATGGGTTGGCTAACCAAGTTTCTGAAAGGCTCCAGCCATAACCATAAAATCTCAGAAGGGCAATATCATGGGAAGTATGAGGAAGAAGGAATTTGGGACGGCCCTTCTCCTGCGGTACTTCTTTTTATTGTTTAACCTTTTTGGCTTGGTCTACCGTTACAATTTCTGATGTTGCTGTTTATTAATACATATCTCAACTAAACGGAACATCTTTCATTTGGTTAGTCTGGTCTGATCTCTGATCGTGCTTGGTGGTAGGATAAAAGTAAGCATGTTTTTAATTAATGATGTTGGGGAAATGCTCCAAAGTACCATTGTGCTTTATATATGATTTTCTAGGTTTTTCCCTATATTTTTCTCATGTTAACTTTATGTATTTGGGGAACTTGGATGTAGGCTGCATGGTCGGACTCTGAGAATGAAGATATTGATCGTGCTATTGCAATTTCCCTTTCGGAAGAAGATCAGAAAGGGAAAAAAGTAATTGGTAAGTTAACACTGAATAATCAGGACCTCTGACTTTTAGGCTTAGCTAGTATAGAATCTTTCATATTTCTGCCGTCAATCAGAGGAAAAAGCATCAAGTACTTTCTTTCATATATTATGTGTAAAGTCTAATTTTCCTTATTCTATTGGTTCACTAGATAATGATTCTCATTTGGAGGAAGACGAGCAACTTGCCAAGGCACTTCAAGAAAGTATGAAAATGGATTCTCCACCGCGATATGATTATGGAAGTTTGTTTCCACCTTATCCGTACTTCAATCCATCTGGGTACAGGTAAATTGTTCTTCTTTCAATACCGTCTAAAATTTGAAGAGGAAAGTTCCGTTTTGTTCTCAAACCGATTCAAGAAAAGAATATAAGTAAATATATAAATATTGTGGTTTCCTGTCCGTCTGATGCACTATGCTAGCTAAGAATCTGAACTGAAAACACAGGTGGCACGCATATTATCCTTTTGTTTTTTCTCCTGTTTGTATTATGTTTCTTCTCATAGATCAATCTGTAATGTTATTTGTGTATTTAATTTATTAGCTACTTGTGCAGAGGCAGGAACATCATTTTCCATTGAAATAAATTTTTTATACTAAGATATCTGCAATTCCACTTTTATCGTCAGGAAATATAACAAGCTTTCAGTTTTGATGAAAGTTTAAACCTTTTCCTTTGTTTTAATTTCTAACTTTTGATTTTAAGTGGCTGGAATTTAGACCAAAGCTAAACTGCATTATGTGTAGCTTCATGTCTCAGTGCTTCACTTGATTGCTGAAGAATGATAGGGCATGATACACAGACTTGGATGTTTCTAACTGTTTTGAGGTTTGGGTGACAGCTCTGCAATAAAAAATGTAATTTTTAGATTTGAAATCTCTAATATTTTGACTTCTCGAAGCAACAACCTCATGGATCATGAAACGATTTTTAAATAGCAAACACTGTGTTTGAGTTTTATCTTCTAAAGGGAATAAAACATATTTTACCATGTGCATGAGTATAGGCAAATGCTAAAGGCAATAAGTGCAAAATTCTTCGGATTTAGCATAATACTTTTTTTTTGGGGGTGCAAAATGAGATCATTCTTTTGTGCGTTCTATTACATTTTTCAAAGAGTAAATGATTGTTGGAAATGCAAACAAAATGAACGATCTAATTCATAGAAAACAAAACAAGGAAAACCATTGGTATTAAAATGCTAAGGTGTGTTAATTTCAAACCAATTTATGAAATAATTGAATGACTATTATTTAATATGTTAAAATTAGTAGAATTTGCACTTGCTGAGCTCTAATTATGGGTGGGGACATCCTTAAGAAAGATTTTGAAGCATTCCTATGCCCTTGACAAAATGGACTCACAAACCAGCCTTATTGACATCGTGGAATTCATATGGATCATTTGCACACATCAATTCCTGTTTCGAAGTTAAAGTTTCCTTCTACAATTCACGGACATCATGGGAAGCCTGACCTTTGTTATTTAAACAACGTTTGATTGTAGGATCTGTGCCGGTTGCAATGCTGAAATTGGTCATGGACGATTTCTGAGTTGCATGGGAGGTGTTTGGCATCCAGAATGTTTCTGTTGTAATGCTTGCAATATGCCCATTTCTGATTATGAGGTCCAAATCTAGTTCAAAGTCTATTCTTTGATGCTTGTTTGGAGTTGAGTTAATTGGCTAACAGTGTATTTGAATCTAGACTGAGAATTTCCACTTTTCCTTTTTACAGTTTTCTATGTCTGAGAATCGTCCTTACCACAAATCCTGCTATAAGGAGAAGCATCACCCAAGATGCGATGTTTGCAATAACTTTGTAGGTGTCTACCACAATTACTTTATATTGCATTATTTATTTTTAGTAACGCATGTTAATTTAAGGTCCAATGCACTATAGTCTATACCATTTCATGTATTTTATGTTTTCTATTTACTTTATAGATCTAGATGGTGGTAGTGTTTGTTGGTTTTGATTCCCATATCTTTCTCTTTGTTTTATAACTGAATAGTGTGCCCTTGCTTAATTATCACAAACTTGACTAGAAAAATAAATATCTGGGATACTATAAATAGTTGTATGTAATGCTCTAGTGACATTTCCAAATTCACATTTCTGACTTAACAATGTTTCATGGGCTGTCTAGAGGAAAACATAAAATTTCTCAAAAAATTTAGGTAGCGTTTGGTAGAGTTTTAGAATTATGATTTGAGAATAGAGTTTTATTTTTAGTTTGTGAGTTTTAGAATTATGATTTGAACAGAGAAAATTTGTTTGGTTATGAGTTTTGAAAAGAGTTTTGAATTGAGTGTTGAATTTTTTAAATGAGTTTTAAAATAAGAAAAATTGTTTGATTGAGTTTTAAAAAGGGTTTTCAAAATTAATTCAAAAACTTGTAACTCATAACAAACACACAACTCAAAACTCTATTGAAAATTCTATTCAAAACTTATAACCAAACTTTTTTTAAAATTCAATTCTATAAAATAACTATTGAAAAAATTTATTTAATTTTTTTTTTTTCACATAACCGCTGCAAAAAAAAAAAAAAAAAAAAAAAACCACTGTTTTCGGACGTCCGGGAGGATGACCAGATACGGCAAAAAATTCAAAAACTGTCCGGAAGGATGTCTGAGCGGACGACTGGATAGACCAAATTTCGAAATTCAAAATTCAAGTGCTCTATCTGCCACCCATATTCTAAAAAGAGTTTTCAAACGTGGGTGTAGAAATAACTTTTGAGAATTATATCCAAACACAACACTTAAATATGGGTGTGAAATCATAATTACAACTCTACACCAAACACAACCTTAGATTTGCAAGAAATTAGCAGGTCCACCATTTGACATCTTCCGTGATTTTACGTATTATCATCTAACAGAAATAACTAAGGTGGAAAAACAGTGTTTGGAAATATAATTTTGAGTATGTACTTCTCTGCAACACTTGGAACCTAAGTAACACAAACAAAGACACAGACATTAGCAGGTCCACCATTTGACATCTTCCATGATTTTAGGTATTATCATCTAACAGAAATAACTAAGGTGGAAAAACGGTGTTTGGAAATATAATTTTGAGGTTACACTTCTCTTCTCTGCAACACTTGGAACCTAAGTAACACAAATAGAGACACAGACACACCAAAACTTTCTGAAGCTTTATCTTGGTGTCATAATATTTCACATCCTTTTTGGTGTATGTGCTTGTTGGGTCATTTGATTTTTGATGGGCTCTGGCAATCTAACTTTGAAATTTTGAGATGTTGACGTGCATGACTGTTGTGATTGTACGACTCTAGGTAGGAATTTCTTGTACAAATTGTCATGGTGATTTCCGTTGATACTTTGAATGCTGAGGAGTCACATTTCAGCATAATGACTGTTGTTGAAATGAAGTAACTATTTGTTTGATGAGGCAGTAAATCTTGAGTTCTTCAGATGTTTATGAGATTCTGGGCTTTGTACTTGTTCATGTTATTTTAGGCAATTATTGAAATATCTCAAAAACAAAGTTTTCTTCATTTGTTCTTGGCCTATGTTACCTGGAACGTGGATCGTTTTGGTATGTGGAACGAGAACAAAAATGTGGCACAGCACATGTTTTAAAATGTAGTACGATAGAGGTAGATTTGTATGGATTACACTACAAAAATTTAAGGTAGTTCTGAAGTAATTTTCTTTTAACAATTAGGCATCCAATAGAATGTATTTTTAATTCCAAAATCATGTGGCAACACATTTCTGTGAGCATTATAACCCATTTTTTACATTTTATCATGTCAAAATGTTACTCACCTTAAAGTTTAGTACGTTATATTTGATTTTCTTTTTCTCTCCTATGGAAACATTTTAGGAAATATATTGGATTTTGGGGTCACTTCGGATCACTAAATTTATTGTTTTGGAATGAAAGTGACATTTTTAGAAATGTGCATTTCAAAATGTAGTTCGCTAGATGTTAGCATTTTTTGGTAACATATGACACTAAACCATATGGTACCCTGGGAATCTTGCTTTACCTTTTTGTCCAGATCCCAACAAACACAGCCGGTCTCATTGAGTACAGAGCACATCCTTTCTGGCTACAAAAATACTGCCCCTCGCATGAACGTGACGGAACTCCTCGGTGTTGTAGCTGTGAAAGAATGGAGGTCAGTTGGGGGAAAAATAAAATTAAAGTAAAAACTAGGAAAGCAAAAGAATATCATTATCACTGATCCAAGGAAACTCCTATTGTTGCTTGCCAAAAGCATGCAAGGCTTTCTATTTTCTGAACGTTTTATAAACAATTTTCCTTTATATGCAGCCAACTGACACGAGCTATTTGTTGCTCGATGATGGTCGGAAGCTGTGTTTGGAGTGCCTCGACTCTTCAATTATGGATACACACGAATGCCAACCTCTTTACCTTGAAATTCAAGACTTCTATGAAGGTTTGAATATGAAAGTCGAGCAGCAAGTTCCATTACTCTTAGTTGAGAGGCAGGCTCTAAATGAAGCCATGGAAGGAGAGAAAAATGTGAGGCGAATGCATTGAGATTATTGTATTTTAAATATTTTCCACAAGTGTAATTATGAGCTAATTTTCATTTTTTATTTTTATTTTTGTTGTCGGTAGGGTCATCATCACTTGCCTGAAACAAGAGGACTTTGCCTGTCAGAAGAACAAACTGTCAGCACGGTATGAAATTCATATCGTGACATCTGATCTTTAAACTATGAGGATATAACTTTATGAAGATGTTTGTTCATTAAATTTAGAATGTATACTTATTTCATAGAACTATTAGATTTTAAGGAGGCCAAGGATTGGGGGCTCTCGGATTATAGACATGTTTACAGAGCCTTATAGGCTAACTCGTCGATGTGAAGTGACAGCTATCCTCATTTTGTATGGTCTCCCTAGGTAATAACTTTCTAATTTCTCTATTATCTGTTGTTTTAATTATTGCTTGAGTTTTGATTCATGCTACTGAAAACCTCTATATAAATTCAGGTTGTTGACTGGCTCAATCCTAGCGCATGAGATGATGCACGCATGGCTCCGGCTCAAAGGTGCTTTTTCTGATCTGTGACAAATATTTCCTACTAGCTTTTTTAACATGCTGAGCTGAAAAATAACTATTGGGGGTGCTTTGCAGGCAAGGAACACAATTTAGTTTATTTTTCATCAAAATGGAGAAAATGTTTCTATTTCCTAGGAAACTGAAATGAAATATTAGTGGAATACCGAACATACTGAAACAATGAATTATTTTGACATCTATTAAGTATATTTAACTATGCTCAAAAAAATAGTATTAAATTTATTAGAAAATTTGAGAAACTATATATGAGAAGAGGGGAGATACAGATGAGAAGTTAAACAAGCATGATTAAGTCACTTATCTATACTACTACTAGAATTTTGCATTTTTAAAAATATTCTCTCTAAAAATGGCAAATCTCTTCCCCAACCAAGCCTTTTTTAAACAATTTGTTTGTGAGCTTAAAATATTCATTGAGCTCAACATGTTCAATTATTTAAAATGGTTTGTATTTGTATGCGTTGAAGTTTTTGTTTTCAAAAATTTTCATATGTTTTCAAATTTTTATTTCATTTCCCTTGCATTTCCGAATGTTTCCATTTCCAATGTAATCGAAACAATGCACCAAAATGAAATTTCGATCCTTGTTTGCAGGTTACCGCAATCTAAGTCCTGACGTTGAAGAAGGTATCTGCCAAGTGTTAGCTCACATGTGGTTGGATTCTGAAATTATGGCCGGTTCTGGGCCTTCTGGCAGTAATACTGCTTCAACTTCATCCTCCTCTTCCTCCTCCTCATCTTCCTCTAGTTCCTCCTCGTCAAAGAAGGGCAAACGCTCTGAATTTGAGAAGAAACTCGGTGCCTTTTTCAAACACCAGATAGAGTCAGATACTTCAGCAGCTTATGGAGACGGGTTCAGAGCAGGCGATCAAGCAGTGCTCAAGTACGGCCTCAGGAGGACTCTTGACCATATCCGGTTGACTGGAAGCTTTCCTGTCTGAATCGAGTAACGCTCTGCTCGGTCTCATCTTGATTTCCCCTCTTAGATAATAACCTTGGACTGTCATTTAGATCTATAGACACCAAAGCATGCATGGAACATAATATCACAGTACTAAATAAGCAAAAAGATGCCTTGAATTCTACGCGGAAATTGTGTAGTTCCATAAAACATTGGACTGGACACCACATATTTTCATACTTGTTGATATATAGAAGAAAAAAGAAAGAATGAATACAGTGACTATGTATTTTGTGTGTAACAGTTCCATCTCTACTCTTAATTTTATAGTTTGTTTGAGCTGTGAACAATTTTTTCTTGTTTTGATACATTAATGGGTATGTTTGGATCTTCAATTCAATTAGTGGGGATGAAAAAAATAAGAAAGAAAAATAGAAAAATTATAGTTGCTATTTTGTTTATCTTTTTCTTTTACAAATCTAATATTCACACACGGTTTAAAGGGAGCTTTTTCATTATTGTTATGAAGACTTGGCTATTTCTGAAGACATGAATTGATGATGGAAGGACACATAAATGGCCTGCTCATCCACACTTCACAAATGTTTTTTCAAATTTTAGTTCCTTTAAGGCAAGGGTTTTTTTTTTTTTAAATATTTTTTTAAAGACAATGGAAGTAGAGAATATAAGCCGCTACCTCTCTTAAATATGCCCACAAAGATTTTTATTTTTGGTAGTTTGGACTTGCAAATACAACTCACATATCGGTGATAAATATTTTATTAAAAAAATGACGGAAAAAAATTACTCACGAAAAGAAATCTTTCATTAAAAATGAAGGAGAAAAGTCATCACAAAAAAAAAAAAAAAAAAAAAGAGAGTCAAACCATTAATTTTTTAATAAAGTATAATATTTCGTGCTTATTAGATTTCTTTGATTCTTTAACTGTAGTGGGTTAAAATTTGTTGATGACACTTTGTGTTATATAATTTTTTAAAAAAAATGCATCTTGCTCTCATAAAATTAAAAGTTGTAATATGTATCTTCAATTCTTACAAAATCGTAATGTTCCCCAATGATGTCTACATATCACCTATATTTCTATACATGTGCTATACATTCACTAATTTACGAAATTGTAATGTTTCCAAATGATGTCTACATATCACCTATATTTCTATACATGTGCTATACATGTGCTAATTTATAAAATTGTAATGTTTCCCAATGATGTTTATATATTAGGGGTGAGTAGCGGATATATCGATTTGTCCAAACTGACCGAACTGAATTGATCCGCTACATTTTGAACGACTGCGTGATGATGAGCGGATGGTTGCGGATTAATTTTTTTTCCAATCCGCCTAATTTTGGAAGGATGGCGGATTTGGGGTTTCTTTGACCGCAACCGAATCGCCAAACCGCGAACACCCATAGTAATTTGTAAGACTTTGCATTTTTAATTTTTTTAGATATTCTGTTTATGTTTTCAATTAAAAAAGAGTTTAAATATTCTGTTGAAAAAAAGTTTTCAACTTGTATATATTTTTTGAATTGAAAAAATAAATGTATTATTTATCTATATTTTTTGATTTTCAAATCTAACTCTAAAAATAATAAATAAAAAATATGATATATGCTGGTTGGTTTTTGTTTTCAAAAACAGATATAAATATAATAATACAGAGGCATACAATCTCTATTAAGGCTCTATTCATGATTTTAGTGGTTTGAATTATTTTTATATTTTAAAAATTACAGATTGTAATACTTTATGTGGATGTGGCATGCAGTGATTGTAATATTCTAAAGTTTCAAATTTTCTAAGGCATGCAGTGATTATAATATTCTAAAATTTTAAATTTTCTTTTTTTGAATGAGCTATGCAGTGATTGTAATACTTTTTTAAGTCATTGATTGTAATATTTTTTTTTAAGGAAGTGCACAAGTTAAATTATGTTGAAAATTTATAAAATTTTAAAACGCCAAACCGATTTGCATCCATCCTCAAATTTGCTCAATCTACATTCGCCAGATTGGCGGAGATTGATTTTCTCCAATCCACTAATCTGATGAACAAATAATAAATTGAAGATTCCGTGACCACAACCGACACACGTCCACCTTTACTACATATCACCTGTATTTCTATACATGTGCTATGGATATACTAATTTGAAAGGTCCAAACACGAGAAATCCACAAAATTGTGATTTCTTGATTTATTTTTTACTTTTATAATTTGGATTTCAATTTGTTAGATTATTCTTGTTTTTCCCTTTCAAGTTAACACATGCATAATACATTTGTACACTTAATATGAAAAAATTAACTGCGTGAAGTGTAATTTTTAATTTTCAAAAAATAAAATTGTAAATGCAACAGGCTATTAACTAAAAAAAAAATTAAGGCAAATTATACTGATTTTTTTTTTTAAAAGATTGAAGAAAATACAACAAATTATACAATTTTGATATAATTATATCGAGATCTCTTTATGTGTGAATGGAATTTATTTTAAAATGTGGTCTTTGCTACATTAAATTAAACAACTTTGTTACATTATCATTAATTTTTCTATCAACTGCTTATACCTTATTTGTATATTTATTTATTTTTTAAGAAGGTAACTACTTATACTCTTATTTATTTTTATTTGTTTATTTTTTTTTAAAAAGGTAACTACTCATACTTAGGGTTTGTTTGGCATCACCTATGGTAACACATTTTATTTTATTTTTTTAATCTTTTTTGAGTCTCATGATTTTTCTATTTTTTTGAACGTCTTTTTATAAAAAGTTAAAAAATATATTTATTTAGATCAATCCAAACAACCCTCTAATTAGTAAATTACAAATATACCCCTGTTGTTTGTTTAAAATATAGATTAGCCCCTGTGGTTTGAAAAATTAAAAATACCCCCTTATTAGAATTTTTTATTTAACAGAATTAATTGAAAAAATAAAATTCATAATTGCTCTCCTATATAATAATAAAATTAGCTAAATTATCAATTGAAACATATTTTTAACATCATTAAAAACTATTAATTGACTTAGTGATTTATTAATAAAATGGATAATTTGTTATGAAATTAGAAATCTCAGGGGATAAAATATAATTTTCAAAATCATAGGGGCGATTCGTATTTTAATAAAATCTCAAGGGGTGTATTTATAATTTACCCGTAAAAATATTAGTAATCTAATAAGGATCTCTGTCCTTTTCCTAAATTTAAATCTAAATCTAAATTAGGTTTCGTTTGGAAAGTTAGCTGATTTTTTAGCTTTTTTGACTATTTTAACTTAGGACTAAAAAGTTTAGTTTAAGAAGGGTTTTCAGTTTTTTTGATTTTTTTGACTTTTTGTGAGAGAAAGAATGTAATTATTATAAATTAAATGTAATATTTTATCTTATCAGATTAAAAAACCTATTTTATTTTTTATACCTATTTTAACCAAAAAAAACTTCAAACCTAACCTCCCAAACATAGGCTTAGAGGTTTTCTTTTTTTAACAAATTTTCCAGCTACGTTTTTTTCCTCTCATTTTTTTTTCCATTTACATATGCTGATGTGGTGTAAAGTTAGCCTATGTTTGGAAAGTGGGTTGATTTTTTAACTTTTTAATTTTTTTAATTATTTTATTCGGGAATAAAAAGTTTGGTTTTGGAAGGACTTTTGACTTTTTTAATTTTTTTGTGAGAAAATAAATGTAATAATTATAGATTAGATGTGATGTTTTGTCTTATTAAGTTAAAAAATTTATTTTGTTTTTTGTGACTATTTTAGTCAAAAAAATCTTCAAACCCTACTTCCCAAACATAGGCTAACTGTACACCTTCCTTCGGATATCACTCTCCTTCATATTTCTTTATATGCTATTTTATCGATCTCATTTTGAGTTTATAATAATAATAATTTCAATTGTGTATTTTATAAATTTTATTATAAAAGTGAACTTCATCGAATAATATTAGATACGTAAATAAATTATATTTTATTTTTTAAAATGTACAACAACTATGAATTGAAACTTAAACTATCGACTTTTATGAAATAAAATATGATTTTTCATCTATTAATCAATATCTAATGAAATTAATTTTTTACGCAAACTATTTTTATTATAAAATTTATAAAATAAACTATTTAAATTATCATAACAAGCCCGAAATGAGACCATAAAGTAGAATAATGTGAAATATGAAAAATAGTGACAAAATGGAAAGGAACTTTTTAGTATTTTTATTATGGAATTATGGTGGAGTTATGGAATTATGAAAGAGAAATTTGAGACAAAGCAAAAAGATGGAGAGAATATGGAGAGAATTTACATGCTTCATTATGTTGGCATAAAGGCCAATATATAGACTACAAGAGGGTGAATACAAACAAAAATACAACTTAATGCATATCTAACATATCTAACTTGGCATGACTTTACGGCCAAAAGTTACAAAATTTCTAACACCTTAGGCAAGCCTAGTCATAGGCTTTTTGAAAAGTCTTCAAAAAAGTAAATACAAAGAGACAAAATAGTTAAAGGAAAAACTACAATTATTTGTTCTGTACTACAGTTTTTACAATTATATACACTGATACACACACTGTCTACCCTCTTCGCTTTTCAAAGAGAGAGACTATTGTAGATAAGCGTTGGCTGAGATGATATGGCTGATCACTTTCCGCCTAATAATGCAGGTTGCTCCACGTGTCCTGGATAAGGTTGGAGTCGATCAGGAGACAATTGCATTTGATAGTGGGGTCCACTATGCTTCCATCCTGTTGATGAGATTGTGATATTTTTCATCAGTCTCTGATGGAGGGGAATTCGGATCTTGGCTGTATTGCTCATTCCGGAAATGTTCTACATCATCCGCGGTCATAGCTATTTCTAACGGAAGATCCAAATTATTTCTCTTTTTGAGATTGATTAACATGTCAAGAGCCTCATTAATTTGTGTAGGAGACCTTTGATATGTTATGGGAAAATGGGTTACAAATAATATTCTACCATCTGTAACCATGAATGGCAATTTTGCTGAGCCATGGATGTTGGACGCTGCTTGTGAAACAGATATTAGACTGTCTATCCAATATTCTGTCAAAAAAAGTTTTTGGATATTTTCCAATCGCTCTCTCCGGTGATCTTCATCTAAATAATCATCTTCAAATTCAAAATCTTCAATTTCTTTAAGATACCAATCTGGTATGGTTGGAAGAAATGTTTTCGTTCTTGCCAACCAACAGTGCTGGAGATCCAGAAAGTAAAATATTTGCTCCATCGAAAGCCTTTTACTATCCATTGTATTGGATCTAAAATTTGAAAAATAACTTGATTAGTTATT